AAGCTCTTGGTGCATAAAGAAGATCTGTAAAGTTGCAAAGACTAAAGTCTCAAATCCAAAGAGATATTCTTTATAAAAGTTAAGAGTCAGCCACACCTACCTAAAACGGCTCGTTCTAACACGCCCCCACATGTCTACGTCACTATGTGGGAAGATTTGCATAACGCCGCCCAAATGTTCACGCAAAGAAAGAAGGCGTAACTTTTATTCTCGCTGTAGTATTGTTGACGCTGCAGCCATGTCGTGGAGACGCTGTGTGCTTCGTTGTGAAAGCGAAACTACTTTGTTTGGTCTTCCAAAAGAGTAGCTGGCCAATCAGAGCACACCTCGCTTTCTCAGTCCGATGAGCTTCGTAAAAATCGACGCGTTTCAAAAAGGCGGGGCATAGAGGAGAAACAATAATGTACAGTATGTGGAAAATAATGTTTTTTGAACTTTAAACCGCATAAACACATTTCATTACACCAAATACACAAAATAATGTTCTTTTTAGCAGCATCATATGACCCCTTTAATTCACGTGCTGTTCTGACATGCGTTTTTTCTGAGCATAAACACATGAAGCGCGCGCACACTGCACACGAAAACAGCGCTTGATTACTAGACTAAGTTGTCTTTCGCATCTGATTGATTTAGCATCTAATACTGTCAAAACACACAAGGTTTACATATAAACACAGTTGGTTATGTCTAAAGTGAAAGTAAACAGTTGAGAGAGAAACGGATGCGTGCAGCACTTAAAGGGACAGTACTAAACATGCCGCTTGTCATTGAAGGAATAGTTCACCAAAAAATTCAATTTCTGTCATTATTTGCTCACTCACATTGTCCCAAACCTGTATTAATGTCTTTCTTGTGCTGACCACAAAATAAGATAGTTTGAAGAATATGGGTTACCAAACGGTCTTTTCACATTTCCAGGTTTCTCAGCAGTGGAAGTCATCATAGATGGGTGAATCTATAGTGGTGAATGGGAGACTACCACAAATATATATATTTTTTTGCATTCCCATTTGCTCAAATAGCAAAAGAAAAACTCCTCAATAATGTTTTCATGACATAAAAAAAAAAGAGAAAGAGAGACTGATAGGCCTAATGACAGTCAGAAGAGAAAACAATGTCAAATTTACCGTCACTCCCATAGACGCAGTATTAGAAACATCCTCGCATTAGCGTTAATTCGTTTTTTTGTAATTTGATGCAAAGGTAATTTAATACAAAATATAGTGTTGTAAATGTACATAAAAAATATTTTTTTCAATTAAAATTTGAAAAACTTTGGAGGATTTATTATGAGGCTGATGACCACTGAAACGCATCATCACAGTTTTGTGAAAAGGGTCCATAACAAAGATAAAATAATGACAAGGATTTTTATCTTCGCCCACTTTGGCCTAAATGTCTGCCATTATTTTGTATTTTATATTTTGTTGAGGTGTAGCAGGTGTTATGTTTCTGCACTCTTCCATTTTTAGCAAATAAAGAAAAAATTAGCTTGTACATAACACTGTTTTGTTTAAAAATATTTTTGTGATGATTTGTATTTTTTGTGCTCTTTGGAACATCAATGTTTGTTTAAGTGAGTAGCACCAGTGCTGTGTGAAAAAAGGTTAACATACAGCCCTGCACATATATTCAAATCAATTCCAGTAGCCTGGCAATTTCTCCCAGTGCTCCCAATCTGGGCCATTTGCATGTGCAATATAGGCTATACTCTCAAAATATTATTACTTTAATTGCTACGATTTAATTCTCGTAATTTTGACTTTATTCTCAAAATACTTCAACTTTATTCTCGTAATTTCAACTGTATTATCGAAATATTTTGACTTTCTTCTGATAATTTTGACTTTATTCTTGTAATTTCGAGTTTATTCTCAAAATATTTAAACTTTATTCTTGTAATTTTTACTTTATTCTCGAAATATTTCGACTTTATTCTCATAATTTTGACTTTATTCTCTAAATATTTTGCCTTTAATTTTGCAAATTTGAATTTTTTCTCAAAATTTTAAGACTTAAATCTCGTAATTTTAGATTTTTTTTTTTTTAACGTGGCACTAAAACGCCGCCAATATATATATATATATATATTTTTTATTTTATTTTATTTTTTTCTTCTGTAGTATCAGGCTCAAGATCTCATGCTGCTCCTGTTCTGAAGATCTAACCCTCTTCAGCAGATCTGAGTGTTTATTAATGATCTCTGCTTCACTTAAGCAGAATCTGAACATACTGTAAAGGCTGAAGCATAATCACTACAAATCTATTTCAGAATATTATCTATAATGTATTATTCACTGAAACAGAAGCTGTTTTACGTGATGTCACACACTTCTGCTGGACAAACAGAGTTTCTGTGTGTTTAATCTGTTTACATCCAGAACAAGCGAGAGTTGTGTTTCCCTCAGATGAAGATGAAGATGAAGAGCGCTGCATTCGTGCTGCTGCACACTTGAGGAGGGCAGGAGGAGCCGCTGAGAGCCGCCGCTGACAGACCGGCTCCTAATGACCCCGCTGAGAGCTGCTGAGAGCCGCGGGGCCCAGCCAGAGAAAGACACCATATGCTGCAGCCCGCCGAGCCAAAACGGCCCTTCAGCAGCTGTTAGAGACTGCAGAGCCACCCAAAATACACCGTCCTGACAAAGCCGAGCCTCTGTGTGTGTGTGTGTGTACGCGTGAGTGTGTGTGTGTGTGTGTGAGACTCTGTCTGTGTGTGTGTGTGTGTGTGTGTGTCTCTGTGTGTGTGTGTGTGTGCGCGTGCCTGTGCGTGTCGTGTGTGAGAGAGTGAGTGTGTGTGTGTGTGTGTGTGTGTGTGTCAGGAGACTCTCGCTCGAATCGCTGCGGCTCTAATTGAGTGTAAGAATCAGCGTCGCAGCAGGTATGTGAGAAGCAATCTGTTGGTCAATCTGTCTGTCTGTCTCGCTCATTTTCTCTCTATTTTCTCTGTTTTCTTCCACTGGTTGACGTTTCTCTTTGTTGTGATTGTTCTTCACCTCCTGACCGCCTCTCATCACGTCTCTCTCTGATTCTTCCTCCTTTCTCTCACAGCTTTTTACTGAAGAGCCCAACAGCTTTGCTTACTGAAGTTATATTATATTACTACTGTAAGTAGTATAAAAGATAAAATAAATAAATTTTTTGCAATAAACTTTAAACTTGTATTTAAAAATATTTAATAAATTAATACTAAATAATATACACCCATATACACATTTTTATTAATTGTAAATTTAATGTACATTTCTTTAAATTAATTTATAATTATTATTATTATTTATTATTATTTTTATTCATTAGTTTAAGTTTATATATTAAATAAAATACAATACTATGCAATATTTAAAGTTTATTGCAAAATGTTAAAAAATATTATATTTAAAAACAAAAAATGCTTGAATTTTGTTTACAATATTGTTAAAATTATAAGAAAAAAAACTAAAACTAATTATTAAAAATTATCAAACTAAACTGACATAAAATACTGTATTTAAATATATATATATTTTATTAAAAAAAAAAAGATATTTTTTAAATAATATATTTTAAGTTTATTGCTAAATATTCAAAGCAGTTTGAGAGAGTTGGGAGACAGAATGCTTTATGGGAGCAGGTGGTCACGACTGTCTTTTGTTGTGATTTCATTAAACAGGCAGCTGAAGGTGAACCGAACTTTAACCAGTTTAACTATCAGTGACGGGTCACTCGTCTCTGTGCTGTTGTTCCGGCTCATTGTCCTCTCCCTACTGGCTCTTCTGCTGCTGGTCAAACACGTGTGTGTCGTGTGTTTAGCTGCTGATCCAGACTCACAACAGGCCTGTTCACTCTCTAGTGCCTCTGGAAAAGCAGTCAATGCAGTGATGTGTGTCTGTGTCTGCCCATAATGCCCTTGTGACAGGAGACTGGACATATGGCGACACACACACACACATACACACACACACACACACACACACACACACACACACACTAGCTCACTGGTACTACAGTACCTAACTGCTGCTGCAACTAGCACCAGTGCCAGTATCAGTATGTTCAGTATCAGTAGCAGTGAATCATTCAGTCAAAACTAAATGATCCATACACACATATAAATGAAGAACAGGAAGCACAAAACCAAACACCATAACAATACAGTCAGATGTTTTAATGACTATTACTACATGCCTTGGTTATTTTCACTAGATTAGTACTACATTTTCTTAATTGAACTGAGTTTAAGTTTCTTGACATTTTCTCTGGCTGAACAATAAAAATAAAATTTTAAGCTATTTCAGAGCATAAATATCCAGATATGCATTAAATATTCTAAAGGCTGAAAACTGAAACAAAAAGAAAAAAAAAACTGTGTTTTTAAGCTACATCCCTAATTACAACCAAATCACATGAGCCACAGTCTGATGGTGGAGATATATGATTATATATTTATATTTATTTATTTATTTGCATCTGATTGTTTTTAAATGTTTATTTATTAAATATTAATATTTATCTATTTAATGTATCAACTCAAGTCTAAATTGTTTACTCTGAAAGAAATATTCATATACAATATCAATACAAATTTTTTTTTGTATAAATACACAGTCATATTTATTAAACAACTATATATACTGGGCAATGACATATAAATAATATAAATAATATAAATTAATACAAATAAAATAAAGGTAATTAATCATACATGTACATTTAAATGTACTTCATTTTATAAACACATTTATATTAATTTATATTAATAATGTATATTAAGTTGCTAAAGAAATAAATTAAAATATGAATATTTACAAAAATACAGATTTTATAATAATCATGTTTAAATATTTATTTAATAATTATTTATAATTTGTTATCAGTATTGTTTATCAAAATATCTGTCAGAGTTACTTTTAAACAAACGATTCATATTTAATTTAAATTGGTAAACATATGTAATAAAAAAAGTGTTTATCCTACAAATACTCCATGTAATTATTAGTGAATGAGAGCCAGTTTCTCACCGAAGTCGGCCAGTTTGAGTTCTCCGGTGTCGCTGATGAGCAGGTTCTGTGGTTTCAGGTCTCGGTGAAGGATGTAGCGCTGATGGATGTAAGACAAACCCCTCAGTAACTGGAACAGGAACAGCTGCGGAAACACAAGATTCATGTGTAAGAGTCACAGATCACCTGCCAATCCATATATCACTTAAAACACAAATCAACACGTGTCAGTCAAACTGAACAGGATCCATTAGGCCTGGGTGATAAAACGGTATCGATATTTATCGACGGTACACCTTCTTCGATATCGATTGAAAAAATGTTCGATATAACGCACGATATACGCACGTGCTCTGAGTGACGCAGACCGCACACACAAACACAAACACATGCTGAGTGCTGTGCCTGCCTGTGATGAGGAGATTGTGAATAAAAAATAATAATATTAGTCGAATTTAAAATAAACATTTGCATTTGAATGCAAAAATAGTACAATGAAATGTTAGGTCTGCGTCAGGGACCGTCATTAGTGGAGCACGAGATTAGTGGTCGACCGATATGTGTTTTTTGACAGCCGATACCTTGGAAAGAATATAAAGCCGATATAATTTTATTTATTTGAATTCATATTTAAGAAATTTGAAATAATTTGAAAATGGATTAAAAAATAAACGTGTAAAATAAACATACTTATACTCTAGAAGACAAAGTATTTTTCACAAATAAATAAATATTTAATAAAAATGTAATTAGAAAGGAAGTAAACACTGTAAGCAACAGGGCACTCAGTATTCTGGGAAGTTTGTGTGCATTGGGAATCATATTTTTTCAAATAAAGCCAAGGTAACACTCATGTTACATACAGCACACAGTGGAAATGACATGAATAGGACAGTGGGCAAATGCATAAAGCGCAGCATAATTTGAAATCACGAGTTTAAAGTTTGCCGATCGCGCGTCTCCAGGGAAGCTGAACTCTCCCCTGTCCGTATTCAGTTCGCACGGACCATAGGACCAACCGTCACAGAACACGCGATCATAGAGGTCACATGCACACTTCACATGATCTCAACTAGATTCGACTAAGTCTGCAAGGTTTGTGAAATTAAATGTTCATTAGTCATTCCAAGATTTGTTTAAATTATATAAATGCGTATTTGGGGAATGCTGACGGCAAACGATAAAGTATTATAATGTTTGCCTTTAATAATATTAAAGCAATCGTTATAATACTTTTTTGTATACATTTTAATTCCTTTGTTTAACAGTTCTATCTGATTATTAGATAGACTTCTTTCCGTATTAGACAGAACTGAATGACAACAGCGAACAAGAGGGAGAATGTGAGCACTGTGTGCTCAGGCGCTGCCGCAGCCGTTCTCGGCGCCGTCAAAATAAAAGTCTGACGCGCCGTCAAAATAAAAGTCCCACCTTGAACACATCGGCCAAACAGAAAACGTATCGGCCGATGCCGATATTTGAAAAATGGCAGATATCGGCCGATATATCGGCCTTGGCGATATATCGGTCGACCACTACACGAGATGCGGTGATGATGATGTAAGTGACACTGTTGCATTTTAATGTTTTATTAGTGTAGCCCACAAGACGCGCAGTTGCTGCGTTATTCATTCAAAATATTAGAGCATTTAATGCGCTGCATTATTTTGCTCATTGCGCCGTCCTGTGGCCTATTTAACCTGCATATAAAACATTAGAAATTAGATATTTGTTTAATTTTTATTTTGTGTTTGATTGTTTAAACAAAAATTATTTGCTTGTCTCAATAAATTGGGTTAATTTAAAAATACAGTGGTTAAAAAAAAAAAAAATTCTATTGCTCTTTGTTTTAAAAAAAGGTTATAAAAAATGTAATTATCGATACCGAACGATATGAAACATTAAATCGTTGATACATTTTATACCTATATCGCCCCCAACCCTATGATCCAGTCAATGTGCTATTTATTCCCATCTTCCTCATATAAAGCAATCACTGTATATATTGTGCTTTTATGCAGTTCAGTATCATCTCAGATCGATCCGAGCTTCACGCTCTCTGTGTGGAGTATTGATGAACAGCAGCGTCTGATCTCCACAAACAGAGCGTCTGATAGACGGACAATCGATGCACAAACACACACACACACACACACACACACACACACACACACACACACGTAAACCTCACATCAGTCTGAAAAGAGCACGACTGGCCTGTTTTCTGCTTGGAAGAGATTCAAACGCAAAACTATCAAAGTCTCGGTCAATCAGGTGAAGCACGAGAGCGCGGCGTCCAATCAGAGAACGGTTTATCGGGCGTCTGGAGTCATTGCGTCACTTTCAGACGAGGATCGTGATCGTCATGTTTACTCAGATTCCTGCTCATTCAGGGACAATATTCAGCAATACAGCCATTCTCCTTCAGTCAAACCACAGTCGAGGGACAGCTTCACCCCACAATTACAGTAACATTAAAACACATACAGATTCATCAGACTCATAACACAGGGAAGCACTACATAGAAAAGTTTTTACTGTACTTTACTTGTTACATTAAACATTTTGAATCTAATTAACTTTTTTTATTCATAGGAATAAAAACAGTAAATACACATATATAAGCTTTCCATTGATGTATGGTTTGTTAGGATCGGACAATATTTGGCCAAGACAAGGCTCGAAATTGCGACCATTTTGGTCGCATATGCTCCCGAAATTTAATCTGTGCGACCTCAAAATATATTTGGGAGCATTTGTGCGAGTGCATATAATTGTTGTCGTGCGACCCGTTTTCATTTCTCTAAAAACGTTCAGAGTATGTGCCTTCTGAGCGCTGATACGGTCACCTGTCTGCCGTACTATGATACGTTAGGCTACATAACCAATTAAACTTCATCTTTACATTCTTAACTTTAATGCAGATTTTAGATTGGTTAATATTAGCTGTCAATCACCCAGTCACTGCTTCCCGCTGTCAGGTGACAGGGAGCTAACTACCGTGGGGAATGTAAAGGGCTGAAGAAGAGAGAAAATAAAAAAAGAAACACTGACAGATTTCTTTTGTGAACCACCTAAAGTTACAAATAATGGTGCTGGTGATAGCGATCATGTGGTGAATGTTGATCCACCAGCCGAATAGAAGGCGTACAGTTTTCGGAGAGAGTGGTTGAAAGACTTCTAGTGGCTCCGCTATGAAAATGGTTCTATGCACTGCGTTCACTGTAAAGCCTGTGGGACGGAGTTTGCAGGTAACAGCGTTCGCCACCGAATCTACACATTTCGTAATTGTTGTTTTACGATGTGCGGTTTGACATTATCAAGTATATTGCAAAATCAAATCCAAATGAAACACACCTACAGAGAGT